TCCTCTTTCACCAATGGATTATTTGGGAATGTATTAATTTTCAAGTCCATAGAGTTTTCCAGTGAGCTTTCTGTTACTGATTTCTAGTTTAATTCTGTTAATGGTCAGAGATTATACTTTATATGATTTCTCTTTAATTTATTAACTTTTTTTTTTTTATGATCCAGAACGTGGTCTGTTTTGGTGAGTGTTCTGTATGCACCTGAGAAAAACGTATATTCTCCTGCTGTTAGTTGAGGTGTTCTATAAATATTGGTTAGATTCAATTGATGACGGCTTTCTGGTCTTTTAATATTCTTGCTGATGCTCTAATTTTATCATTTACTTGGGCATGTTGAAGTCTATTTTTTTTTTAAAGACTTTATTTATTTATGAGAGACACGCAGAGACATAGAGGGAGAAGCAGGCTCCATGCAGGGAGACCAGTGTGGGACTCCATCCTGGGACTCCAGGATCACACTCTAGGCTGAAGGCAGATGCTTAACCTCTGAGCCACCCAGGCATCCTGAAGTCTTTTTTTTTTTTTTGAAGTCTCTATAATTGGAAGTTTATTCTTCTTTTGATATCTGTTAATTTTTGTTTTATATACCTTTTAGCTCTATTATGTACATTTGCAATTAGAATTGTATTTTTTTTTTTTTTTGGGCAAATTCACTCGTTTTATCATGCAGTGGGAGAATAAAGAGATTAACTCCATACTCTTAGAATCACAGCTCCTCTGGTCAGAAAGAAGATCCCCTTCCCCAGTTTTTAGATGCCTGCCTGGCTGTTACTGCGATTACTTTTCTGCCATAGCTGCCACCATTGCAGTGTTGTGTAGAGACAGGGGTGGAGGGAAGGGAAAAATTAAAGGCCAAAAGAGGGAATCTCCCATCTTCCTTTTCCTGGACCAGAGAGAGAGAGGATTTTTCTTAGAGCTCTTAGAGCTCCTCCTCTGTACTATATGAGCACTTCTGGGTTTTGAGCTGTGTCAAAGTTGGGCAGTAGTGGAGAAAAAGTGATAACGTCTTGCCTTTTTTGATGGAACTTCAAATTCTGTTCTTTTTCTTGAATCTGTTTGCTGTCATTTACTTTTCAGAGTCCTTGGGTAGCTGTGACATGCATTTTATTCAGGATACTGTTATGGTTAGAGGAAGAGACAAAAGTCTCCATAGAGTGTGTTTACTCCATCTCCCCTGGAACTAGAACTTTTTGTTTAGTTTTGAATTTAATGTATTTTGAAATATACCGGGTTCTTTGTCATGTAAATTAACTTTTCTGTTTATGCCTACTAATACATTTTCTTGTGATTAAAAAAAAATAAGTAGAAGTTGTCACAGCCAAGGGAAAAAAATTATTGCTTTCCTCTAGAGGTAGCCTGGTGCTAGAGAAAGAGTGCTGATTGGGGGAATCACAAGATTGAGTCAGGCCAGTGATTAATTCTTTGACCTTGTACAAGGTAGTTAACAGCCTTGATCCTCAATTTTCTCCATAAAAAGCTAGTGGCATAATCTTTATTTCTGTGATTCTGTGGCAGAGCTGAGAAATTGCTCCTGGTAACTTGTTTTTCTCTCAGCTGGCTTAAACTCTTACGTTTTTTCCCCCCTGTTGGACTAAGTGTTTCGGACTAGATTTAGGCTTTTTCTGTTGGTCTTTTTTGCCCTATAGAACATTGAGGCCTTCATAGAGAAAATATATTTTCCAGCAGAGATTGATCTTGATTGATTTTAGTTGCCATAGTCATCTTTTGTTCCCCACACACCAAATTTGGGTTAATAATAAGATTAAAAAAAATCTTTATTTAGGTAATCTCTACAGCCAGATTGAATTGCATGCTCCTCTCACCGAGTCAGCCAGGCACCCTAAATAAGATTATTTTTTTGTTGTTGTTAAGATGTATTTATTTGTATGAGAGAGAAAGAACAGAGGCACATGAGCAGGGTAAGGGGCAGAGGGAGAATAATATCCAAGCTGACTCCTGCTAAGCACAGAGCCTGGACTTCGGCTGGATCTCACAAGCCATGAGATCAGGACCTGAGCTGAAACCAAGAATCCAGGGCTTAACTGACTGAGCCACTCAGGTGCCCTTATTTATGAAAAGTTTTAAGGACATAAATGCTTTGTTTTTTGACTTTTATTATTATTTTTTAAAGATTTTATTTATTTATTCATGAGAGAGAGAGAGAGAGAGAGAGAGAGAGAGAGAGAGAGGAACAGACACAGGCAGAGGAGAAGCAGGATTCCATGCAGGGAGTCTGATGTGGGACTCAATCCAGGGTCTCCAGGATCACACCCTGGAGTATTTTTTTTTTTTTAATGTATTTTATTTATTCCTGAGAGAGAAAGAGACAGAAGAGACAGAGACAGAGACACAGGCACAGGCAGAGAGAGAAGCAGGCTCCATGCAGTGAGCCTGATCTGGGACTCCATCCCTGGTCTCCAGGATCAGGCCCTGGGCTGAAGGTGGCGTTAAACCGCTGAGTCACCAGGGCTGCCCAGCCTGGAGTATTTTGAAACAAATCCTAGCAATCATAAAATTTTATCTGTAAAGATAATGTTCCTTTTTGAAGTATTGAGAGGAAGTCTAGCCTTGGTGATCAGGTACTTACTTGCTCTATCACTTACCACCTTTGTGATCTTAGGTTGCATAATTGCTCTGACTTGAGGTTTCTTCAAAGGCAAAGCAGGAATAATGATCTCTGCCTTTCAGCATGGTTTGGAACAAATGAAATAACGAAAATAGTGAATGTACAAATGTTCAAACACTAGGCCCACAATATTACTATTAAAAAGTAACAAAATGTTATACAGGTAGCTTTATATAGTTTAGTACATGGGGTCTTAAGAGGTTCAATAGGGAGGAACATAACCAATACCTAGAGAATTTTTCTAATTCCTAATATACTATATCCCTGTCTTGAGGAGTGATGCCATAGTGAACTAATGGGACTGGGATATCATCCTGGTTGTGTAATTAGAACGACACTGAGAATTATTGGTTTAAGGATTCCACAGTTTGTATGTACTGATGATGAGAGTAATGATATTTTTATCATCTTTATTAACATTATTGAGGTATAATATACATGTAGTAAAATGCACTTGTTCATCAGTTCAATGAATTTTGAGAGGTTTACATATCCATCATAACATTTCTGTCACCCTAGAAGGTTTCTTTGCATCCCAGTCCACCCCAGCCCCATCCTCAGCTGCAGGCAATCATTGATCTCTTTAGCCTGACTACAGATTAGCCTTGTCTTTCCTGGAGTTGCATATAAGTGAAATCATACAGTGTGGACTTTTTTGTTCCTTCTTCTTTTGCTTAGCGTAATTTTTTTGAGACTCTTCCCTGTTGTGTTGGTTCTATTCTCAAAAGCATTTATGTGGGTATACCATTATTATTCATTTTATTTTGTTAATTTAATTTAATTTATTTAAAAGATTTTATTGGGGATCCCTGGGTGGCTCAGCAGTTTAGTGCCACCTTCAGCCCAGGGTGTGAGCCTGGAGTCCCGGGATCGAGTCCCACGGCTGGCTCCCTGCCGGGGAGTGGCTGTGGAGTGGCTGTGGAGCAGGCTCCATCCTGGGGACTATAGGATCTCCACCTGAGCCAAAGGCAGATGCTCAACCACAGAGCCACCCAGGCATCCTCAGTCTTTTAGATTTAAAGTTTTAGCCATCCTAATGGTGTAAAGTGGTATCTTACAGTTTTAATTTGCATTTTCTTGTTTACTAATGATGTTAAGTGTGTTTTCATGTGTTTATGGCCATTCTTACATCTTCTTTGAGAAGTGTCTCTTCAATCTTTTACTCATTTTTAAATAGTATTGTCTTATTATTGAGTTGTAATATTCTGAATATGTGTCCTTTGTAAGATAGGAATTTTATTTTTTTCTCTTTCCATGGATTGCTTTATTTTCATCTTTTGAAAAGCAAAAGTTTTAAATTTTTGTAGTTAAATTTATTATTTCTTTCATATTTTGTGCTTGTTATATATGAAATCTCTGCTTAACAAAAGTTCTGAAAGATTTCCTCCTTCGTTTTCTAAAGGAAGATTTTTAGTTTTGGCTTTATTGTTTAGGGCTGTGACTCATTTTGAGTTAATTTTTGTATGTTATATGGGGTTAAGGTCCAAGGTTAATTTCTTCTTCATAGATATCTAGTTGTGCCAGAACCATTTGTTCAAGGAATATCCTTTGTTCTATTGACTAATCTTGGCCTCTTTGTTGAAAATAATTTGAGCTTATTTCTGTGGGTCTATTCCTAAACAATTTTGCTCCCTTCTCTGAGTCTACCCTTAAATTCAATTCCACATTGTCCTGATTACCGTAGCTTTATAGTATTTCTTGAAATTAGATAGTGCAGTTTCTCTTAACTTTGTTCTTTTTTTTCCCTTAATTGTTTTGGCTATTATAGGTTCATTATTATTATTATTAACTTAAAAACAACTCATGAGACTATGACTATAACTTAAAGTTACTCTAAGATTGGTTTATTATTTTTTCCTTATCACAATTTTCAGAGTGCCCAGTCCTGAGATGATTACTGTTTCTTGGAAAAGTATTTAAATCTGATGATTGGTCTTCTCTCCTAATCGCTCATTTTGTTGAATTGAACTTTGATTGTGATTGTATTCAGTATTCATCTGATAATTTGTTGAGTTATATTGAGTTCACAGTTGAACAGAAAATATCTGTCTTCCCTAAGGTTAGGCATAGACCTTTTCTTACTACTTTAAGGATTGACCTAAGATTTGGGTTGAGTTTGTTCCTAAGGTATTTTGATATTAATGATGGATTTTACACATTGATATATTCTGTGTCTTATCTTGTTTTACTTGATACTTAATACTTTTATTTGTATTCTTTCCAGAAATTTCCTGAGTTGAGATTATATATGTAATAGTTTTGCTGAAGTTTTGTATCATTGCAAATCTTGAATTCTTAAAAATTAGAAGTTCTGTGAATAGTTTTGGTAGTAAAAAATATGAACATTTTTATTTAATGTCTTTCCATATCCAGAGGATGCCAGCCCCCATCAGATTGCGGGAGCTGATCCGGACCATCCGGACAGCCCGAACCCAAGCAGAAGAACGAGAAATGATCCAGAAAGAATGTGCTGCAATTCGATCATCTTTTAGAGAAGAAGACAATACATACCGGTGTCGGAATGTGGCAAAATTACTATATATGCACATGCTGGGCTACCCTGCTCACTTTGGACAGGTAGGCTGGGCTGAGACTACATCTAGCAAGGGTACTCTCTTGTTTGAATGACAGTAGCTCAGGGAGGGTCAATCTTTTCTTGTCAAGGAGGATAGGATACTTTTGATAGCCATATAGTCCCATCATTGTGGAACCAAGAGTAGAATTAAGAAAGTTGCAGACCTGGAAAGGCATCATATTGGTGTCAGTTGTGCTTTCCATTGGAAATCTCTCATTATGTGGATTAGAGTATGTTTTGATGGTGGCATCTAGCTTTGCTTAGAGATTGATCAAGATTAACCAGTAGATTGTGATTGGTCTGTCACAGGGGCTGGATGATAATGAATATTTAAGAAATGTTTGCTGAATGTTTTCTTAATTATATTCTGTATGCACAATGATAATAAGGAGGAATACTGAGAACATGTTTTTAAGTAAAACAAATTAAGTGGTTGCCACATGATGGCGTTTATGGGTTTTGTCATAATTAGTTCAGTACTTGACTGTTATAGCCACTATGTAGGTCTGCCTCCTGATTTTTTTCTACACACAAATGCATATTATTATATATAGCCAGTCTAGGCTCTGAGAATAATACTCTTGGTGATTAGTGCTTTCTTCTTTCCATGTTTATATATGATAAGGGAGAATGAGTTACAGAGAAAGAGTATAGTGGGTTGTTCTTAATTCTTATTAATGCTATTAAATTTTATCTCAATTTCGGAATTGTATTATATGCTAAAGAGTCTTTTTAAGGAAAAGACTGCAAAATTGAAAGAATGTGCAACATTAGGCAGGAGAAAAATACCACCCATTATTCCATTATTCAAAGATAACTATTGTTAATGTTTTGATATATTTAATTTACCTGGAAAGATGGCCATGTGTATCTTTTATTCAGCTTAGTAAGTCCAGTGAAAGATTCCCCCACCTCTGAGTTAAAACAGTAATGGGATTGAATCTTATCAGACTGACTTGGGTTAGTTTTATGCTTATTTTGGGGCTGGAAATGAGATCACTTTCTCTGGAAATACATGATTGAGAGTGGGAGAGCATTAATTTCCCAGAGGAAAATTGAGGTGTTAATATCAAAGGAAAGGAGGACCCAGGTACTAGGCAGACAAAAACAACAGCTGTTTCCTCTGAATAGACATGTTATATGCTTTTACCACATCAAAAAGCAGTTCAGGTAGATATACATTTAGTGCGTGTCATAGTATAAAGTAAATAGATGTTCATATATTTTTGTTGGTTGATTTTAAGTAGATACATTTAGGTTAGATTTACAGAAATCTGATATATTGGGCTGGTAAAAGATAGTCAAGGGTTTGGGGAGACTCTTAATGCCTACATTCAGAGATAACCACTATTTAACATCATGGAGTTAAAGGAGTTCTAAAAAGACCAACTATTGAATTTAAAATATACGATAGATTTAAGACAGGATATTTTATTTTGTGAAAGAGCAGTCTATATTTCTAAAAGTCTTTTCTAAACTATGTTTAAATAAAATGGGCTTTCCAGCTTTACTAGATGGTGTTTTCTGGGTGTTCTGGAATTTAACTATTTGATAAAATATTTAATTCTTAGGTGGAACATGTTAATATTCAAGGAAACTACTAAAATTGTACAGTTTAAAAGATTTTTCTGAGTGGGAATAGGAATCATAATTTTAAAGTCCCTTAATATGTTTCCTCTATTTGAATAAGTCAGGGCCCTATCCAGTCAGTATTTGGTACCCTGCCCATCAGAATTTCCTTTATAATGTACCCATAAAAAGATTCCAATCTGGATTCTCTCACCTGCATGTATGAATCACAGTGCCATTTTCATTTAAGTATGTGTAACAACAGCTACTGTTTATTGCATTTTATTAGATTTGTTAGACTTTGCTGCTGTTTATGATAGCCAGTAACTGCGTAGCCACTGGTCTCTTGAAATGTGGCTAGTTCAACTGAGGTGAATATTAAAGGAAAATAAATTTTGGAAGATATTTGATGCAGTTACTGGAAAACTTATGTTTTAGACAACTTGGGTATGTGAATCTATCAATTGTAAATTTTATGAAGTCTAAATACAGTTATGTAGTATACAAATTGAGATGTGCTGTAAGTGTAAAATATATACTGTATTTAGAAGCCTTAGTACAAAAAGATGTAAAATAATTTTTGTGTTGATTATATGTTGAAATTATATTTTAGAGCTATTGGGTTAAATAAAATACATTATTAAAACTAATTTCACCTGTTTCTTTACTTCTTACTGCAGTATCTAGTATGATGCTGTTCAATAGAAATAAAAATATGAGCCAGATGTATAATTTAAAAATTTCTAGTAGCCACTTTCGAAAAGTCTTTCAAATTTTATGATAAAACCCATGAAGTAGGTAATATTCTCAGTGCAGATGAGGAAACTGAGATTCAGAGATTAAGGGCCTTGTTTAAATTTGCACAGCTAACAAATATTAGAGGATTAGAGCTCAACTTTGTGTAACTCTAAAACTTATTCATTCTTTGGGTATGTTTGAATCTGTAAATAAGTTTATTAACTATTTAATTACTTTAGCCCTGACTTGCTGTACAGAGGATTTGAGGTGACATACATTACCAGCATCTATTTAAAAAAAAAGAAAAAATAAAGAATAGTAGAAAATAAGAGTTGGGGAAAGAAAGAATTCAGAACCCAAAGTGACTGTACTTGTTGTTGGTGAGGCAGCTAAGGCAAGAAAAAGAATTCAGTTATGTGCTTGTTAAAACTAATTTAAGAGTGCAGCTACAGGAACCAGACTTCCTGGATGTGAATTCTGGCTTTGTTATTTTACTATCTATGATTTTGAGCAAGATCCTTAACCTTTCTTTTCTTGGTTTCCTCATCTGTAAAATAGGGACAGTCTTCATACTACTGTATAGGGTTATGAACATTAATAATTAGATTAGTAAATGTTAAACATTTATGTTTTATACATTAAAATCTCAAATATTACTGATTTTACTGTTTCCTCAAAGACAGCAAAATATTTTTTTGAAAAATCATTGAATTCTAATATAGATTTCCATTTATTTATATATTTACATATGTATGTGTGTAATCTCCCACCCAACATGGGGCTCCAACTCACAACCCCAAGATCAAGAGTTGCATGCTCTTCTGGCAGAACCAACCAGGCACCTCTGAAATAGATTTTCTTACGGGGGTCTTTTATCTAGGAGTCTCTTAATAATGTAAAAGACTGTATCCTCAACACTTTTACAACAAAAGCTGTGATAAATTTCTTGTATAATTTGTAACCTTTCATGTGTCCGGCTTAACTATGATCCAGAAATAAAGTTGAGTATCTAAAGAAGTGGGTAGATTGCAGAAGTAAAAAATGGTAGCTTGGGGGCCAGATTCTTCCACAGATGTATTTTGCACTATACGTTAAATTGTTTTGAATTTGCTACTGATACAAAAATCAAGGAACTTTTCATGGAAATCTGGATTTCTAGTTTCTCTTAGAAAATCAGACGATTTGACAACACTGGATCCACATTTTCCATGGCACTGGTAGGCTGGTGACCTTTAGGCTGGGCTTGCATTGTCTATTTCTTCCCCATTCCAACCTGCTATACCCAGGTACCCATCCACAGCACTCTTCCCTTCCATTTTTTTTTTTAAAGATTTTATTTATTAATTCATCAGAGACACAGAGGCAGAGACATAGGCAGAGGGAGTAGCAGGCTTCATGAAGGGAGCCCAGTGTGGGACTCAATCCTGGGACCCCAGGATCACAATGCTTAACCACTGAGCCACCCAGGCATCCTGCTTCCCTTCCAATTATAATACAGGATAGCACTCCACTTCTTATGCTCTTTAAAGTTTTACAGCGTTCTCTATAAGGTCTTAAAAACTTTTGGTGAAATTTATAGGTTCTGTGGAGCTCTTCTTCTTACTGCAAATAGCACTCTTAAAACTTCAATAATTAGGTTTTATATACAGAAAATAATTAATTTTTACAACATTATTGGATTTGGTTCTAAGAGTTCCTATAGACCCATTTCTTCCATATAGTCAGTACTGTTGTCTGTAAGCAGTGGTAATTCCCTTTCTATCTGTAATCATTTTTTTTCTTGTTTCTTTACTGCGCCATACCTGTAATTGAATGGTGATAATAGGCATCCTTGTCTTGAGCACCCTTAAGGCCAGATTGTGCCCAAAATAAGCCTGTCTTACTGTTCCAGAACAGAAGAAAAACTACAGAAGTCATGTTAAAAGGATTTAATAGCCATCAGAAGGGGCTTTTTGTTGTGCCCCAAAATAAGAAAATTTGCGCATTAGTAAGAATAATTGTAGTTGAAATACCAAGTAAGTTTATATCAGTGAGTTCATAATTTTTTTTATCTAAAGGTTTTATTCATTTTAGAGAGCAGAAGTGAGCAGGGAGAGGGGCAGAAGGAGAGAGGGAGAGATAATTGCAAGCTGACTCCTCACTGAGCGTGGAGCCTGACATGGGGCTCCATCTCATAACCCAGAGATCATGACCTGATCTAAAATGCTTAATTAACTGTGCTACCTAGGCGTTCCAGTGAGTTCATAAGTATTAAACTTTAAAAAACCCCATTGATAGGGCAGCCCAGGTGGCTCAGCAGTTCAGCGCCACCTTCGGCCCAGGGTGTGATCCTGGAGACCCCGGATCGAGTCCCCCACCAGGCTTCCTGAATGGAGCCTACTTCTCCCTCTGCTTGTGTCTCTGGCCCCCCCCCCCCCCCGTCTCTCATGAATAAATAAATAAAATCTTTAAAAAAAAACCAAAAAACTCCATTGATCACCTTTGGAGAATCCTAGGGACTTATTTTGAAAACTGATAAATAAAAGGAAAGAAACATTTATCCTCCCTTTCCTACCAGTAGTTCCTTCTGAAGGAACTATTTGTAACCCAACAGTATGTACAGAGAAGTTGCTCCTTAGAGGAAGAGTACAGCTGATAAATGAAGAAAGAATAAAAGAATTAGAATATTACATACATTTTGTAATCCCTGATGGTC